AAAGGAGGAGGGGAGGAGGAGGGAGAAAGGAGAGGGGAGGTGCAGGGAGAAAGGAGGAGGGAGAAAGGAGGAGAGGAGGAGGAGAAGAAAGTGAAGGGGAGGAGGAGGGAGAAAGGAGGAGGGGAGGAGGGAGAAAGGAGGAGGGGAGGAGGGAGAAAGGACGAGGGGAGGAGGGAGAAAGCAGGAGGGGAGGAGGAGGGAAAAAGGAGGAGGGGAGGACAAGGGGAGAAAGGAGGAGGAGGAAGAGGTGAAGGGGGAGGAGGGACAAGTGGGAGAAAAAAGGAGGAGAAAGGGGGAGGGGAGGAGGAGGGGAGAAAGGAGGAAGAGGAAGTAGCCCAGCAACGTGGGTAACTAATTTACACAGCGTTTCCTCACCTGTGGGGCAGATGCTGTCTTACCTCCATGGGGTTGATGAGGGTCTGGGAGATGGCCACGGCCAGGGAACCGGCGAGGAGACGCTCCTGGAAGGGCGGGGACCCATGTATTCCACAGAAGTAATTCTTGCACTGGGAGAGGAGAGAGGAGGATGAGAGAGAAGTCAGCCACCCTCTGACACAAAACCCACGCAGGGAAGAGGCCTGGGGTCTGCAGGGTGAGCGTGTGTCTTGAACAAGGGCCTGGAGTTTTGGGGTGTGGGAGGGGTTTGGGCTTGAGCTGGGGGAAGCAGACGCCTCATTCCCCACCTGCTCGAATACGGAGAACTTGATGGCATACTCGGGAGCAATCTTGAGCACGTTGATGCCGTTGCCCCGCCACAGGGAGCGGAAGCCTCCCTCCTGGACCATGCTCTGTAGCCCCCCCAGCAGGTTGGTGAAGGTCGTCTTGGAGGAGTAGACCTGGGTGGAGGGAGGACCCTGGAGGAGCCCCTCCTTACCTCTGTCTCTGTCCCCATCCCCACCCCAAGCGCAGCCCCACCGGGAACTCCCCAGCCACCCAACCCCAACCCATCCCCATCTCATCCCCATTCCTTCTTCAGCTCCTTCCCCAGCCAGTTCTAGAATCGCACACAACACGGACCCAAAGCCAACATCGACCCACATTCCTGTCTCATCCCTCTTCTTCATCTTCTCCTCAGTTCTTTTTCTTTCTTCCTTCCATCCCTTCCTTTCTTTCTCCCTTTCTCCTTCCTTCCTTCCTTCCCTCCTTCCTTCCGTCCGTCCTTCCTTCCTTCCGTCCTTCCTTCCTTCCTTCCTTCCTTATTTTATTTTATTTTATTTTTTTGACGGGGTCTCACTCTGTCACCCAGGCTGGAGTGCAGTGGGGGGATCTCGGCTCATTGCAACCTCCACCTCCCTGGTTCAGGCAATTCTTCTGCCTCAGCCTTCCGAATAGCTGGGATTAC